AAACTTTTTCTTTTTTACTTTAAAATAAGTGATTTATGTGAAAGAATTAGGTGAAATTATAAACAAATAAATAAAAAAATATTTGGATTTCCAAGTAGGGGAACTATAACATAATCTAAAATGGACTATGGTGTAATGATACTCACAATCATCTCTTGCCAGTGACAAATAATGGAACCTTAAAGGCCCTGTTTGATATCTCATCAAATAACATGGTTTTGAAATTTTATCGAGTTACACTTAGGGTAAAATGTTAATAGTTTAATTTTTTGCTGTACCTATGTGTTATCATACATAATTTATTTACCACTTGTTTTTGCATTTACTAATCACATCTCATTTCATTTGAATCAGTGTTATTGACATTAGATTCAAGATTTATTGGAAATTGAAGGCATAATATTAAATCAAGTAAATTCATTAAATAAAGGCTACTCATGAGAAGCCTACTTAATCTAGAGTTCCATCCAATCTTTTTCCTTTTTATTTTTTATTTTTGGTTAACACATTTAGTGCAATAATAATGTATTTATTGTATTGGCAGCTGGACTTGCTAAGTGGCTTGGAACTTGAACTCGCGAACTTCTCTATTTTTCTTTCACTTCGGATCATTATTGTTACCCTTTATTAAATGTGATAATTATTGTTACCCTTTATTTCTTTTCTTTAGTAAACTATTAACAATTGGGTGTGGTTTCTATAAGGTTGCAACTTTAAACAATCCAATTGATGCGTACTTGTAAATTTTATAATAATATGTAATTTTGGTGTAAAAACTTCTTAAGATTATCTCAAAATCTATTTTCATATCTAATTATAAAATTTGAAACTCAAAAAATGGTTAAAATCAAGTATATCTAAAAACATATAAAAAATCTTGAAAGTGGATGGTCTAGATAAAGTATTGCAAGATGCACTATTTCAAGGGCTCAAAATCTTTTTTTTCTCATATTCATATATCTCGTTGTCCAGATGATCAATTAGAGTGTTTTTCAATGTTAAAAAAATATTTTCAATTCTACATTTTAAGGTTGCGACCTTATATAAACTTTTTCCTTAACAATTACCTCAGTACTTTTTCATAATTCATGTAAACTAACTAATGATGAGTGTGCATGGAAGTAAATTATAATAGAGAGATATATAAAGAGATCATTTCTCTTTTGTACAAGGAGGTCACAAGCACTATTATCTTTTAAAATTTGTGATTGTAAGAGTGTCACTGAAGGAAGACACTTACTTCAAAAAAATTTAATCTCGGACTCTGTGACTTACCCCAAACCATCCAATTTGATATCTAGTGAGTGGGAATAGTTATGACCTTGTTGTAATAAAGATAAATGGTATGTTACCAGACAATCCCTTTTGCAGCTTTTAGAACCTTTTGCTTATATACCTCATAAAAAATACGGGTACCCTAGATTTCATCTCAAAATAACTTGTAAAAAATACATTAAACTTCTAGCTCTGATCAAGATTAGACGATATAAAATTTAGCCTTGTGTGCATCCTAGATCAAATATCTTTTTCATGCAATTTTAATATCAATATTAAAGCTTTTCTTCCTAAGGTTGGTGCCTAGGTTTAGTAGATTGGACATTCCCAAACCATAGTATCCTAAAATTGGTCTGAACCGGGGTTTTGCCTGAGGGATGAAATGTACATTTTATGCCCATGAGAGCAAATAATCTTTTCAGTTCTTCAATAGAAATAAGAAAGAGTGATAGCATTTATCATCCCTTTCAATAGAAATAAGAAAGAGTGATAGCATTTATCATCCCTTTCAATAGAAATAAGAAAGAGTGATAGCATTTATCATCCCTTTCAATAGAAATAAGAGAGAGTGATAGCATTTATCATCAAATATGAAGTTTATCATCATACAAGAAGAACAAAAAGTTATTTGGAAGCCGGGCATCTTTGTCCAAGGCACAAAACCGTTCAAGAACAAATTGGATGAACCCTTCATAAAAAAAATTTCACCTGAATGTCGTGGTAACCTTATTGTCTATGTTGAAGGCAACAATATATTAAACCCTTGGGTTCATAATTCATACAAATGCCATAAAAAAAAAGGGAAATTTTAAGCAAGGCCAATAAAATATTTGTATTAGTATCACTTGGACTTTGTATGAATAATGAACCATAATGATACTCTCTCTAAATTACATCTCTCTCCCTGTGCACCATATACTAATCTACATCTCTCTAAGACTCGTACAGGAAACATCTCATCTCCACGTTTACTGATACCATTTCGGTTATTCTCTCGCTAAGAAGCTCTTTCTCCTTTCTCATTTACCTTTACGCTCATAAATTCATAGGATAGGATCATCATTCTAGTTTGATCCTAATTATTTAGGGTCAGTTATAAGAATCATGTTTCGTCATTTTGCTCTATCAAATGCTATATCCCAATAAAATCATTTGTTACGATATATTTTCTTACTTCCATCCACGTACTTTTGGACATATCCATTATCTTTTTAGAGCCTTTCATTTGGACGAAATCACACATCCTAACAAGTCTTGTATATGGTCTACACTGCACATAGTCCATCATAGAATAGGATCCTTTATTTTTTTTATTTTTTATTTTTTAAAAGAATACTTGGGCCAAATTTGGCTATGAAATCGCCAATTAAGTACTTTTGGTTCACCCCATTTTACTCTTGACGATTCTAAATTGGATTGAGCCACATTTAACAAAGAAATTTAAAAGAGACATTAAAGAATGGGAGAATCTGGTAGGGGAGATCCAATATTCCTCAAATCAAAATGATCCATTTCTTCATCTTGACCCAACTTAGCCAATACTAGTCGGACCAATGATGATATAATCCAATCTAGTGTGGGGAAAAGTTTATATAGAGCCGAGGCTTTAAACAATCAGCCCAGATCAAAAATTTTACTAGAAGAGGTTGTTTTGATGCTTAAATGTCCTCAAATTGATCACCTCAACATCAAGATGCATGGACATGAGAAAAATAATAGATTTCAAGTTTTGAAAAACATACATCTTGTAACGTATTTTTGGACCGTCAATTTTCAAATTTCTCATGTTTTCATAGATCTACTCTCGATCTACACCATTTTTGAAGCTTTAAATTTTATAATTGAAGTTAATATATTTTAAGACTATCACAAAGATTTTCAATATTAAAACCACTTTGCCAACAGAAGGTGGGCTCTAATTTGACTGTTTAGAGCCTCAGCTCTATATACAAACTACATGCAAACTGCATCCATTTATTATTGACCGCAATTTGGCTGCAGACTATGCTCGTTACAACATGCATACATTCAATATAGAATGACAATCAGGTACAGTCAATGTTGTAAATATATCGGCACAAAGTTCATTATATTGGGTTTCAATTCTTAAAAGTGATTTTCAGGGCCTCGTTTCTGTTGTGGGCTATGACACATGTATAGTCCAATTAGATTTTATGGTGCAAATCTATTCTCGCCCCACCTTGTGTCATCGAATACATATAGATGTTAGGGCCTACACAATAATATGTAGGGGCTTAAACAAAAAGAAATCTGATGCTTAATAAATGGGTCCTTCAATTTTTATGAAAATGGCAATATATCTAATACTGATGCTTTTACTTCCAATCCTGATTGGCGATATCAATCCAGGTCGACCAATTCTCTGCATCAAAAAATAAAGAATCAAAGGAAAATGTAAAAACTTAAAACTCCGCCGAGATTTGATGGGAATCAAGAATTGTCCATTCTTATCAGAGATGGTTCTTCAATAGAATGAGGCGAGTCTCTCCAGGTCGTCCTCTGTTTCATCGACTGATGTCAAGATATATTGCCACAAACATTTCTAACTTTTTTCTTTTGGACATTAACTTATTCTTGATATATATTGTGAGCCCCTGCTCTATAGAGATATTTGTACTTTTTACTTTAGAACTCTAACTTACTCTTGGATTCCTTTGTATAGTGTGCTACATGTGGACCAAGCAGAGCATTGGCAATAGAACCCTTGGAAGGTAGCTATGACTATATACAACCAAGTTCAGGCAGCAATAAGAGCAGGCTGTGACTCTTTCTATAGCTTGCACCAACTTGTGTGCTTATTTGCCCAATTCAAGAAATGGAGCCCTTTTGATCTTTTTATTTATTTATTTAAGTGTTAGCATAGGAAATTGGTGATGGTACAAACCTAGATGTCGGCACTCTCGAACCTTATTATTTTGGGTTTCCAAATGCAAGCCTTCCCACAACAATAATAATTACACGAATATAAAAAAATATTATTTACAAAACCATTAAGGGGTGTACATAAGAGGAATAAGAGGAAATATATGCGATGAGACACTTTACTTTTGACACAAAGAGGCTACAATCATCATTGACTATTAGATTTGAAATCGGGTGATTAAGGATGTGTCATTGTTTAGACTTAAAGTCCAAAATAAAATTTCTCAAATATTATGACACTTTCATCTATTGGATTTCACATGGAATTGCTAAATGTGATTGTGACCTCCTTGTCCTAAAAATAAATGGTGTTATAGAATACAATCCCGTACATCAAATGTGACAATTTTGTGGAAGTATCTTATCCTCCCAATAAACGCAAAATCTTGTGAAAGTGCATGAAGATAATATAAGTAGGTCACACACATATATGGGGGAAATTAAAAAATGCATTTAAGAGCATAACCTTTTAACATTCTACCCAATTTTTTATTCAAATTTGAAAAACACATAACACACATGGTCGTGAGTTGGAATAGTTGAAAATGTGTAAAATGTTAAATAGTAAAGACTTTTGACATGTCTTGATAAATTTCTCTATAAAATAAATAAGATTTACTTATTAAAACTGTAATTAGGGGCATATGTGAACACACATGCCGAGGCACTCTAAACACACACAAGTTCAGTACCTGCCTATTTTCTATGTTTAAGAGAATCTACCAATTTAAAAACAGTAGCCGACCCCAAATAGTGGGAATAAGGCTAAGAAGATGATGATCAATTGAAAAACAAGCCCTTTGCATTTAATTAGACAACAACCACATGAGTATTTTACTTCATACCAGTCTGGAAGTCTTGGGTCTAGGCATTTAGATTCCTATTTTCTCTAAGATAACCTAACATTTACCTAGCACTCTAAGAATCGAATCTGTCATTTCCACAATACAATATTGAAAATCCTATCACTTCCATCAGCTCCATCCATTCTGAATGTATGTATATAGTTTGTTTCCCATAAGTGCTATCCTTTGCTGCCATTTACTCCACATCTAGCATAGGGCATCTGTGCACACACACAAACCCTACCTTTACTCCTCACAAGAAGAAAGGTCATAGAACACAACAAAACCTCAAACACACAAAAAAGGTCATACACCCACGTCCCCACAAACAAACGTTCCATGTTCCATTACGCCAGCTTCAGAATAACAGCATGTACCCTACCCACAAATTACAAGTACATAGCCTCAAAACACAGATTTACGATAATGTCTACCATCCTTTTAACATTGTGCCAAATCTTTTCACATCTTGCTCGCCCATACTGGCCCGAGCTCTTTGGCTCGCGCCCTTAACACATGTTTCTGCACCTTTCCTGTGGCAGTCTTAGGAAGCGGCCCCACTACCACAGACTTAGGCACCCAGTATCCTGGCAGCCTCTTCTTACAAAAGCTAATTATATCCTCACCCACCTTTGCCTCTTCCTCCTTGCTCCCTCCCGTTCCCTCCCTTAAGGCCACAAAAGCACAAGGAGATTCACCCCATCTCTCGTCCTTGCGTGCCACCACTGAGGCCTCCAAAACCGCAGGGTGTTCATAAACTGCTTTCTCAACCTCCAAACTGCTAATGTTCTCACCGCCAGATATTATAATGTCCTTAGATCTATCCTTTACCTCAATGTAGCCATCTGGGTGTTTCACCCCTAGGTCTCCTGAATGAAACCAACCCCCCTTAAATGTCTCCTCATTAGCCTTTGGGTTTTTCAAATACCCCTTCATGACCAGATTGCCCCTCATCACAATCTCCCCCATTGTGGTCCCATCAGCAGGGACCGGGACCATGGTGGTGGGGTCCACCACATCTAGAGCTTCTAGCCCAATATAACGAACCCCTTGTCTAGCATTTAGGCGGGCTTGGGCCTCGATGGAGAGGGAGGCCCACTCGGGCTTGCGAACACATACAGTTGACGGACCATAGGTCTCTGAGAGACCATACGTATGGGTGACAATAAAACCCTTCTTGGACATACCAGCAAGAACGTGAGGAGGAGGGGCGGCACCGGCAGTCATCACATGGACAGGACCTGGGAGGGGGCAGATGTCTTGCTGTGAAGCATTGATGAGGGTGTTGAGGACAACTGGGGCTGCACAGAAGTGGGTGACCTCGTACTCCGCAATAGCTGAATAGACTGCCTTGGCTGTAACCTGCATTTTAAGCCAAAAGTGAGATTTAGAATCAATCAAGGGATGTCTTTTCTTCTTTCTAGTGACCTATGTATAACATAATACTGTATTATACTACTGGCTCAGTTAACAAGGAGTGTAGTTGGTAGCTGTTATCTATTGAAATGACAAAAGGATGGATATCTGTTATGGTGTAGCCAATGTTTTAATAAAATTGTTAGGCCTATTTGGGACTCACCAGTTTCTTTCTTAAATTTTTGTGTCACAAATGAAACTTTGTCCAATGTAAAGTGGACCGCATAAAAGTTCTCAAGGAAGAAGCATTCATATCTACATTCCATTATTACCGAGGGATTGCGGTTAACCCAGCTTAATACCATATATTGTGCATAACATAATTTTCAATTTTTGAAGGTGCTTAGTCTCTTGACTTGCGACACTGATGTTCGAGGCTTAGACTCCCAGCTTGTAGTTTGGGTACAGCAGTAATGTGACAATCATGCCTAAAGCATCTATCAAAGGAATCTTGGTTTGAGATATCTTGTGACTAAATACGAATCCAAGATGAAGTTTATGCTGAAACATCTTTAAAAATCTTGGCAGCACATTAAAAAACAAAAATCATAAATGATTCAGATGGGAAATGAGTCTCACTGAAATTACACAATAAGGACAACAATTTTCAAACGTGTGATGACAGCAAGATCACGGACAGAAACTTCCTACCTGAAACCATCGGTATGGAGCAAATATTTTCAAAAGAAAAAGCAGAACTTCTATTGATTGGAAAGGAATAGAAAGATGATATAAGTGCCTATAACATCGAGAAGGATGTATAGTACATTCATCTGATAAAAAGGAATTCCAGAAACTTTCCGTTAACAGTAAATAGTTAATTTGGGTTGAGGAACAATAGATAGTCAAGAAACAGTAGAAAAACGTTAATGAGATGATTCTTCGGATGCTTTAACCCAAAGTAATAAAATTAAGTAAATATATACATTATGTTTCCTTCAAATAGCCAAATGGAATATAATGAACGGTAAATGAAACATATTGCAGCAAATAAAGCGTTAATTCCGATTCGTATAAGTGTTCAAAGGATGATCTGAAATTAACCAGTTCTCTGCCTACCAACCAACCCATTCTGGTCTCCAGTTCAAGGTGCATGGCCTCATGTGAAACCTAGTTGAGCATTTACAGGGAATAAGAGGTGATAAAGAGACAGTAGATATCTCATGCATAAAGTGACATAAAAGTAAATGCATACCTCTCATATTTGTAAAGGACTAGAAAACACAAAACACCATAAGTTAACCTTGCAGGAACATAATTACAGACTCTAGATATATTGAGGCAAATTTTGGTCATTTAGAAGTTTCTGAGCAGGTTCAAAACTTAGGTAAAGAATGGGCAAATAAGCCAAAAGACAGATTAGTATTTCAGAGTGTAAGGAGATGGCCAGCCCAGCAAAAAGAAAAAAAAATAATAAAAAAAGGAGAGATGAGATACAAATGAACATAGCAAAAAGTTAAAAAACAAATGAGAAACTGGACGCAGATGAAGTGACAAGTTATAAGTTCTTTTGAAAGGAGAGAAAAGAGCAACTGTTAAAGACTTAAAAGTCCCTATGAAATTTTAAATAACTTGCAATTTGGAGTTACTCCAAAACTGAAAGTCACAAAAGCCATGCACAAGATCACCAGATGGCAGGATATATCTATTGTGCAGCTCTAACAGAATCCTTAAAACATGTAACCCTTATCTAGATATGCAGTAATCAAAATAATGGTTTATCTACATGATATTTATAAAATCTTTAGAAAAGACACAGCATGGAAATGCAAAATATAGGAGACAATCCTTAAACAAGGAAAAGCAGTTAGAAAAGTTAATAAAAAGATTGAAAGATAGGAAAGAAAAGAAATCCTTAACTATCAAAGAAAGGAAAGAAACAGAAACATTAATCTTAAAAAACTGAAAACTGATACGCCAATCCCATAACCTACTACGCATGTGTATATGACTCACTCGCCATCATGCATGAATAATTTATGTGCAATATCAAAATGTGCATCAGTCACCTGGCGAAGGCAAATGCTGGTCCCACATACAGCAGCAAGCGACCAAGTGAAGCACCATCCATTGCAATGAAACATGGGTAGAGTCCACAAATATATTGCTCCCTCCCCCATACCCCATATTAAGGGCCCACTCAGAGCCATGAGGTAAGCCCCACGATGGTGCAAAACCACTCCCTTAGGGCTCGATGTGGTCCCCGACGTGTACCCAAGAGCAATGCTATCCCACTCATCTTGTGGGCCCTTCCAAACATAATTTGGGTCCCCACCTTTCAAAAACTCTTCAAACTCAATGGCCCCTTTGTTTATAGCACTCTCTAAAGCTCCTCTATCACAAATCTCATCACCAACAACAATGAGAAGGGGCCACTTGAACTGGTGGCCACCACCTTCTTTGTTCTTCATTTCTGAGGCCAACTTGAGGGAAGCTTCAGCTAAGGGGAAAAATTCTTGGTCTACGATTATGGCAGACGCTGCAGAGTGGTAAATGAGGAAGGCGATGGTAGGGGCGTTCAGTCTGATGTTTACGCTATTGAGAACAGCTCCAGCCATTGGAATACCGAAGTGGGCTTCGTAACTGACAGGAACATTGGGTGCTATGACTGCTACCTGCAGGAGAGAGAGAGATGAAAAAAGTCACTTGGTTATATTACACACAAGATGTTGTTTGGAAATCTCAATGGTTGCATTAAAAATTGTAAGAGTCAAACTCAGTTGCCCACATAGGGGTTCAACAAAGATACCACAAAAAAGTAGAGAAGAATGCAGACTGGCAATAAATGTGACAAGAAATAATATGGAAGAACTGAAGTTGAACATTGACAGTAGAGCACATAAAAAAAAACCGTAGAAAATCTTTCTGTGTGTAGATGTGCATGTGTATGTGCGCGAGGAAGAGAGAAAAAGCGAAGAGAGAGATCGTTTTAAATGATTATATATTAAGTGATTTCAGAACAAATAGAATATTTAGATTATTCTTAACAAAATACATTCATTGTTAACACTACTAACCGTTGGGAGTGAGACCATTTCGGCCATCTATTCAAAGATGAAGAGCATGACCTCTCTTTCAATAATAAAAACAAAAAACCTCCGTGTAGAACAAAAATATACTGGTAACATTTATTACAAAGAGCAGAATAGAAGAACCAACAAGCATTTACTCTTTTAAAAACTATGGGAGAGAAGCATGGGCTATAGCACATGGATTCTTCTGTTTGGATGTCGTACCTGTATCATACACACACCTACCAACATATACTCTTATGGATTCCTCCTCTTGTGTTTCAAATATTGATTAAACTATATTAGACACTTACTATTTTATTTGATTTTTGGTTTTAAGTAGACACTTGTGAACTTTGAAATGTATATAGAACTTTCAATATATCTATAGATTCAGCCAATGAATGTATAATTAATTATTTATTGTCACTCATCATGAAATACACTAGTAGGAAACCATTGCTGGATTTGGTTCTCTTCATAATGGAAAAATATCATGATGTGGACAGATGGAAGGGCAGTGCCAAAGCAATTAGAATTAGAGGGTGGGTTTGCTAGGTCTTGTCAAAGCCCGACACCCGATCGGACCTGCTATGCGGTCCCGGTCCTTGCTATCGTCCCTTTAGGACCCTTCTTCACCTTCGGGCTGAAGCCCAACTTTTTCTGGTTGGGAGAAATGGACCTTTGGTCATGGAAGTCTTTCTCCTTGGTCACTGCAGCCTTTGTGACTAGAGTGATTGGCTTCGCCTTCGTTTCAGCAGCAAACCAACCACAAGCTTAAACCATTGCGAGACCGTTCACTCTGCAAGATAAGATCGAGGAGAATGCGTTCAAACTAGAACTGCCCGCCACCCCTCAATGTTGATCAGCTGAGTCGAGCCCTCCATGTTGGATGAGGCAGCTGAGTCACCAACCATATTACTAAACAGTGACACCTACTTGCTCACTGATCAAGCTATGGAATGGTACTTCACTCTCCCTAGGTATTCAATTCAATCCTTTGGCTCCCTTGTCAAAAAGTCTTTAGAACGCTTCTCAGCTATCACAAAGAGGGAAATGTTGATTCAATAAATGAGATATTTGAGGATGGTTGAATCTGAACCATTGTGCACCTTCAGAGCGTTACAGCTTCAGGACACAATACCATGCCCTTCATAATATTGTTGAATTGTAGAGGAATCTCACACAATCACTCTTTAAGAAACCATCAAAGCACCAACAAAACCAATAAGCATATACTCTTTAAGAAAACCATGGGCGAAAAGCATGGGCCAAAAGAGCTTATGATCACCCTTGTACATGGAGTCCTCTTTTAAGGTTTCACACCCATGTCAGACACTTATACACACACATATTGACACTGATTCATTCATTGCATCATTTTAGAGACTTACTCTTTTTTTTTTGCCTTCAGTAGATATTTGTGAACTTTGAAATGTATATAGAACTTTGTAAACATCTATGGATTCAGCCAAATAAGATATAATTGATTATTTCCTGCTACTCATCGTCAAATGGAATATTAACGGAACATTGTTGGATTTGATTGCCTTTTCATAACATATATCATGTAGCCAAATACGTTTTTCTCATGGCATGATGACTCCACCTCATTCTCGTGTAAGACAGTGACACATGTACCCATGTCCGTGCAACATAGCTATGGCCCAATAAAAACCAATAGTATGACTATCAAAAACTAGTAACTCTCTCTTTTCAAAACATCCCCAATTGAAAGTATTCTCCATTTAGTAATACAATTGAATGCAAATATAAGGAAGCATGGTAAAACTACACCTTGCTTTGATAGAACTAGCACTAATAGTACACCCATATAAGATAAGCAAACATGGAACACAATTGGGGGGGAGAGAGAGAGAACTCCATAAGACTAGGCTAGAGGGTAGACTAGAGGGTAGAACCATTGATTGCAAGTAGGGTGGAAAACGGGTTGGATCAACTAGGGACCCAATGGAACCTACGTCTTAGTCTAGGTTCCATTTCTCAACCCAACGGATCAGGCTCAGAGTCCAAAAGTGGGGACCAGTTTACATTATACATACATACATATATTTATATATGGAAAAGTATAAAATAAGACCATTTACCATTGGTACATGGTGGTCACAATTAATCTTGACCATTGGATGTGAAATTGGTGTGTGTGTGTATATAAATATATCTATGAAAAAGTTTGAAACCGTTTATCTTTGGTACATGGGTGGTCACAATTAATCTATATATATATATATATATATATATATATATATATATA